AAATTATCCCCCCAAATAGCACATGCAAGTAAAAGCATTTCTGCTTTAATGCCAAGCCCAACCAAACCCACGCCCGTTGAGTTGAATTCTGACTCAGAACCATGCAGGACAAGAGTGGAACTGTTCTATAGGATTTCCAAAGCTGTACGCCATTATGGAAGCAGAATGCCCCCTCTTTCTCCTGTGGGGCATGTGGAACTTTTGAACTGTTGATGTTTGGGACCATAGCCACACACATTAACATCTGTGCCACCAGCCTTCTTTTATTTCTGCCTTAGCACTTGCTGTTTCTTATATCTGAAATCCCCATTCTCCCTTCCTCTTATCTCTGCTCAAGTATCACCTTAACATTTGGGCCTTCCTTGAGCACCTGTCTAAAATGACAACTCATCTCTACATTCAATATTTTCCTTACTCAGCCTCCACCACCACCACACATCTGCCCCCATAGCACACACTACCATATAATTGCTTATTTATTGTTTTATCTCCCCATCATAACAAAATCTCCAAGATAGAAGACTCTTTGTTTCCTCCTTAGCAAACAGAACAGTGTATGGCACATGGCAGGCATTCAATCAAGTTTGTTGACTAAATGAAAAATACAACATAAAATTTCCTTCCAGATTTTCCTATCTGGGGTTCCAGACTATTTTTGCTCATTTCTTTAGGGTGGCCACATACATCTCAAGTTAAATAATGAAAAATAAAATAAAGGGGGCAATGATCTCTGCCATTTTGGACATAAATGTAAGTGTCTGAGCTTTCTCTGACTGGGGAACCTACTATACTCCCTCTGCTGGACACATGTCAACACTGTTGTTGAATAAACTGAAGCCTCCGGGCAAGATTTCTGTCACAACCTGGCTGGTGAAAATAAAAGCTGGTGGACTCTGGTATTGAGTTAACTTGAGCTTTTCATGTCTTCTGTACTTGCCCTACATAATTCTCTTCCTTGAAAGTTGTTGATTTAGTAGTGCTGCTCAGAGAAGTGTCTTTTAAAATCACTGTGCATATAAATACTTTAGTGGATTTTGTTAAAATGAAGAACCTGACCTTTTGCATTTCTTACTAAGCTTCCAGAGGATGTGATGCTGCTGTTCCTCCTACGAAGCTTTCAACAGCAAGATTATGCTACCATTACTTAGGTCTTTGCCAAACAGGCAGATACCCGGGTCTCATTCAAATGTATTGATTCAGAGTCTCTAATACACACTTCCCCCCACCCCCACCCCCGCCCTGGGTGCAAATAATTTGTAAGGGCGTATTCACTGTTTTTACAAATACACATGAAAATCATGCAATGCTGCCAGCATTGGATGCAAGCCCGGGCCACAAAGTCTGCACTCTTTTGAAACTGGTCCTGTGAGGGCCAATTCTTTCATTTCCCCTTATTATTTACTGTGACCCCTGAGTTGTCGTTCAAAGAAGAAGCACACCATCTTTCTCTGATATAACATCTGCTGTCCTAACACCACTGCAGGATGTACCTTCTTTCTGAGCTCAGGTTTCCCTTCTTGACCGTGGCCATCCCCAATGTCACCTGAGCCAGCTGCTGTTCAGCTGGTCCTTGAGCCCCGGCACAGAGATGACACATAAAGATTTTTGGCTCCTGTGTTTTCAGATCATGGCTCCTACCGTGAAGACCTAAGGAAATCCAGAATGTTCCACTGAAGACCAGCCAAGTCCTGGCCTCGACATCTTGAATTGGAGACAGAAAGTTCTAATGTACATTTAAAACAAATTCCTATGGAGCTAGATTTGAGAACCACCGTCTATGAGTTTGAAATGCCCTCTACTTTTTCTCAGCAATTCCAACCTATCAGCCACTCTGAGAGAGAAAGATGAGGCTTTCTGACCCCATGCAGTGGTTTTCAACCTTCCTAATGCAGCAACCCTTTAATACAGTTCCTCATTTTGTGACCCCCCCAACCATAAAATTATTTTTTCTTTTTTTAAATCATTTTATTAGGGGCTCATTCAACCTACATTCATACATCAATTGTGTAAAGCACATTTGTACATTCATTGCCCTCATCATTCTTAAAACATTTGCTCTCCACCTAAGCCCTTAGCATCAGATCCTCATTTTACCCCTCCTTCCCCGCTCCCTCATGAGCCTTTGATAATTTATAAATTATTATTTTGTCATATCTTGCACTGTCCAA